TATTCGATAACGGTAACAATAACATTAAATCAAGCATGTACTTGACGTTCCCGACGTTGCTGCCTTTATACAATTGCGATTTTATATTTAATATTTGTCGACAATAATTTCGCTTGCCGATTTCGCAGCGTTGTTATACGTGACGCTTGCGTGCCGCAAGCGCAATGTTGTAATCCTCAAGAAGATAGAGAACATTATATGTCATGCGTCTAGCGTATTGTTCTATTGTCGTACAATTGCAATAATCGTAGGAGACCCGTTATCTACATAATGCGGTCCGAGAGATCGAAGATGGTAAACAATTTTTATACAAAGTGGGCACGCGCGAAAAAGGGTGTATCGTATCCATTTAAAGAGCTGTACATTATAACTGCATTATTGTACGGGCCCTCAGCAAGTTCGTGAAACTGAAATATATGCAACGTGTCCGAAACACGAACTCGCGACGCAGAATCGTGAGCTATGAAAATATTGCAAACATTGCAGATATCGTGAGCGTAAAATTGTTTACTTTGTCAATTACCGCAGATTGATCGGAGAAGCAATCATTTCACTGATGTACCGATGTAAAATTAAATTTGCAACAATGTGAAAACAGCTGTACCTAATAAAATCTTGATCCGGGAAAAAACTCTGTTTCCTCAATTTGATTTTATGCGATTTGACGTTATGCTGAAAGAAATCTCTTTGTCTTGCCTGGTACTACTTGCGCACTGAGAAAAGACGGCAAGATACAATGAAAGAGAAAACAATTCCGTTATAAAAATGATCACTACTAAGCAAACGTAAATATGTCATATTTCTCGGTACGTCAAGCAGTATTATATCTGAATTCTTCTTTTATTATTAACAGTAAAGGATTAATTGATTGAAGAATTATTTTATATATTATTGTTATATATGTGCATGTGTGTATGTATGTCTTATAACACGGATAACTGGTGAAAACCTCTACAAATATTCGATCACGTTTATATCTATTTATATAATTTATTAAATAGTCTGTCGCTTGTTTCGACGTATTGTGCAATGTTTAAAAAGTAGATGACAACTTGCACAATGAGAATTTTTTTGCGTCTAGTTCTACGTCGATGAGAATTTGTGGTAAATTTATCGCTTAATACAAACTGCAATAGACGAAGATCTTTCCTCGCTTCAGCATTTATAGATAATAGAATGAAGCCGTGCAACGATTCGGATTAATGTAATTAGGATTACGCTGATTTAACTTCAAAATTACTGCGCTTCGAGTGTGATCTCGATTCTACTTCCTCTTCTGCCGATTACACGTGTAGTGCGCTATTGCTTAAGATTTCATCTTGGATTAAACGGTGGAGGGTAATTATAAATATGAGGTGAAGTATCCACGTAAACGTTTCTAACTCCAGCTTCGTAAAAGCAGAGCTGGAAATTTACTGGCTTAACGGACGATAAATTCTCTCATCAAAAATCTAGAAAATATTTTATAGTTTTATATACTTTATATATAAACATATAATTTATAATTGCATATATATCTTTTATTAAATATGTACATATATAAATTTGTTAACAAAAAATTTTGCATTATCACATAAAAAATTTTATAGAAAGAAAGTCTTTTCCTGATTTTTTAATCTTATTACGTGCGGCTTAGAAAAACAATTTAATACATTTAATATTAATATTAACATTTCCATAATCTATTTTTAGTTTTTTTGTAATCAATATAAATATAAATATAATTAC